ATATATATATATATATATATATATATATAGGTTTTACTAACATTATGATTTGTATTTTTTTACTTATATTTGTAAGGGAGAGGTTATAGTTACAACTTTTTTTTTACAACCATATATCATAACCGTTGATTTCTGCCAATCAACGGTTATGATTTTCGCAAATTAAACTCATTAATTAATTATTAATTCATAATAAATGACAACCGTTGATTGACGAAAATCAACGGTTATGATATATGGTTGTAAGAGGTTGTAAAAAAAAAGATTGTAAGGATAACTTTCCTCTATTTATAAATGGGATACATGTAACTTTGTTTTCTATTTGTAATCTTTCTAAAAATATAAAACAAAACTGATATTTCAATCAAAAACAAATTCTGGTATTGAATTTCAAATTTGGGCCCTGAATAAAAAATACTATATGAATTAGATCTGTAATAATTGCCATATTAGTTTATGATCTAGCATAGATATTAGAGTATGCAACATTTTGGGAATTCATAAATCTTAATGTTTGATCCAATTTAAGAGACATTGAGAAATCAAATCTCTTGTTGTAGAGTGAAGGGTTAACTATTTCATATGGATTTGATTGGGAATTCATAAATCTTAATGTTTGATCCAATTCAAGAGACACTAGGAATTTAAATCTCTTTTGGAACAGAGAGTTAACTAATTCATATGAATTCGATTATGAACAATTAATTGAAGATTGACTTGGGATAATTCTATGACTTGTGAATAATTGATGGAGGATTGACTCGTGAGCAACAAAATGAACGGATTTCTTATTTATAAGTTATAACTATTATTATAACTGAAAAATATGCCCAAGGCAGCAGAATTAAATACCTAAAAATATGATAACTTTATTCTATTTTATTTTATCCCATCTCATTCTATTTTATTTCATTTTATTCATCATTAAATATCTAAAAACAACATAAGCTAATAAGATATAAACAGAACAAAGGAAAATTACTGGGAACAAAAAATTTAAAGGGATAAATACACCAATAGCTGAGAACAAAGGAACTTCCATGTACCAAACCAAGCAACACTGCATTCACAATAGAGTTAGCAATACTTAAGCCAACCCAAGAATATCTCACAATTTAGATCAATACAGATTTTAGATTACAGAAATGGATGTTGCCTAATGACCCAGTAATGCGAACATTTCTTCTTGAAACCATTAAAAAAGAGAGTTAAAATTGACTGTGTGACAAGCACAGAGAAAATAATTGTTCAGAGGGGAAGATCAAGACCTTTCCCAACATCAACTCCTATGACCTGAAGTATTCCCCTGTTTATAATCTGCAAAATATACCACAATCACACAACAACCCAACTCAGCAGAAATGCTTATTTTTAAAGGAAGAATGAGAAAGAAAAGAAGACTCTTTTCTCATAATTTTCTTTTTCTTTTTTCATTCTCTACCACCACAATTTTATCTATTAAAATACTTAAAACCTGGGGGTGTTTGTTTTCGATTTTTGTAGAATTTATACATGCATCTGATTGTGTATTTTTTGGATTTCCTTGTTTGGTTAAAGCTTTTGAAAATTTTCACATGCATTGGTGTTGCCTAGCCATTTACATTTTTGTGTAAAAATGGGAAAAAAACACCGTTGAGAAAGACCCTTTAAAGGATGGTATTTCAAGTTCTTTATGCTAGTGGAAGAAAGGGGACTATTTGCATGCCAAAAATACCCTATGCTATAACACAAAAGTGAGACCTGTTGAGGACCAAATAGAGTTGCAGGTGGTTTATTTCGTAATTTTAAGTTATTTTTTTATCAATTTTTTACTTCTAATCAAATATAGATTTAGTAAATTTAATCAAATTTTTCTAATCAAATTTTGGCCAATCAAATAACTTTTTTTCAATTTTTCTATCAAACTCATTTTTCCATCAAATTTCTAGTAATTATATTTTCCTGATAAATTTTTTTTATCCCGAACCAAACAAACCTTAAAGTACATGGCAAAGTAAAATGAATAGTGATTAAAAATGAACATATAAAAATACTCACAAACTCCACGATGAAAACTCCAATGATACCAATCATGCAAGCTCTAGAGTTCCATACTTCTGCTGTCTTTGTGAACCCAAGAAATGGAGCTTGAAATTGTGGCTGTACTTTTGGAAATTCCACCTGAACAAAGAGAGATACCCAATTGCTTCATAATTAACAATATGTAATAAAGAATAAAAAAAAAAAGAACACACATAATTGGGTCATAACATAAGAAGCAAAAGATGAAGTGCATACACCAGCAGGGATCTTAGCTGCTAGGACACAGAAGGAAATCTTCGTCTTGTGAGCTGCTGAACTATTCAAATAACGATTTTGAAGGAACAACACTTGCTGGTTATGAGAGAAAATTGATGGGTTGGTTCTTGGGATGAGTGATGATGGCAATATTGTTGATGAAGTAGCCATGGCTATAGTTGACAACCACAACCATTCCTTCACCCTGCCGCTTTTCTTTTCCTTTGTGTGGATGAGATTGCAAGATGGTGGGTTGACACACTGCCTACGTGTAATCATAACTACGGTAGACATAATATTAGTTTCTTTTTCCTTTTCTTTTATATATATATATATATATATATATATATATATATATATATATATATTAGTCTCTTATATGGGTTTTATAAGAGTTATGTTGTAGGAAAAGTGATTGTGTAATGTTAGATTCGTTTTGGGTGCCTTAGTTTTTTTTTTTTCTTTAAAAAGTGCAGGCCTCACAAAATATGGTATGTGTAGGAAACTTTTTTGTGTCATGTTATATGATGAATGCAAACCCCTTCTTGTATATGTATTTTTCTTTTGTATTTTTTTCGAGAAAAATGTGTATCATTTTAAATGATATAAAATTGTGTTATTTTAAGTAAGAAAAAAAGATAGATTATAAGAGAGAGTAGGTGGGAAAAGTTTTAAAGGTTTGAATCTCATCCCTTGGAGAGAAAAAAAGGACACAAGATATGTCCCTTAAAATGACACATTTTTTTCTCTTTTCTTATAGGAAAAAATGTTTGTCCTTTTTTTTTTGGTAAAAATGGAGGGCCTAGCCCAGCAAAACTATATAGACAGCTGATGCATATTTAAAGACACATGCTCCATCAGCAGGTATTTACAAAAATCATCCCAAAAAGGAAAAAGACTAGCAGTGGGAGAGGAAAACAACTTCAACTCTCCTCCCCTGCACTTCAAACCAATTTTAGCTAAACTATCAGCACAGACATTAAACTCCCTTGGGACAAAATCCAGTTGAACATGATCAAATACTAACAACTCTCTTTCCAATCTGCTCAAAAGAGGAAGAAGGCCAACAAAATCAGGAAGAGAACCAGCACAGCACAAAGCCTCCTTACTATCACAACCTATCCAAATCTTGGAAAGCTTTAAAGCCGCAGCCAGCCTAAGCCCATGGATAATTCCCCAGACCTCTGCTTCCAGGGGAGAACAAAGGCCTATACTGAAAGAGAAGCCATTCACCCAATCACCCTGAGCTGTACAGATAATTCCACCACAAGAGCCTATCTTTGAAGATAAATTGACTGCTCCATCAACATAAATTCTTAGAACTTCCTTCTCAGGATACTGTCCTAATCTGCCAAAAATAATAGGAGACTCATCCTTAGAGGTAAACGGGTCTCCTCCACTACTCCTCTTCATGTCACGAAGGTACCTCAGAATCCTACCAATTGGGTAACTAGGCCAGGAAAACATATCATCATGGACCAAAGAGTTCCTCCATTGCCACAGAAACCAAACAGAAACATAAAACAATTCTTTCCAGCAGTGCCAAAGACTAGAAGAAAAGGATTTTGATATATTGAGTCTAAACCATTCAAAACCATCAGTCGAGAGAAAAGGATGGGGGATCTTACCTGCAAACCAGCCTTCCTAAACACACATTGCACCTTTACAGTCGCGAAGCACATGAGTTACTGTCTCTTAACAAGAGTTGCAAACAGGACAAATATTTATCCCCCCACTCCAAAGACAAGTATAACTCCTAACCAGGAGTTTATTGAGACAGGCCTGCCAAACAAAGACTGCTAATCTATATGGTCCTCTCCATTTCCATAAGCTAGACCAGATTCTGTCACTGCCCAAAGAAGAACCAGTGAGTTGACAATAAGCATTCCTAACCAGAGATTTACTATGAGTGTTTCTTCTCCAACTAACCCAATCATCTGAATTATTTGGATCAGGAGGGGAGATATTCTTCAGTTTACTCAGAACAGTTTCATTCAAATAATGCAGCAGATAGCCCCAATTCCAGTCACCTGATTCCGGGTTGATCAAGTCACTAACTTTCCAATCCAATTCAGAACTGTGAGGTTTGACATATGCAAGCTCAAACAAGTTTACCTGCCACTCACCCCAGATGTCAGTCCAGAAGTTGATAGACTTTCCATTTCCAACCTCCCAAAACAGATTCTGAGATAACTTCTCTCTAGCCAAGCACATATTTTTCCACAAGGTAGAGTCACTATTTTTGGCGATAAGCTTTCTTCTTGGGTCCTGCTTCCTGCCATATTTACCAAGTAAAACATTGGCCCAAAGACTGTTTTGGTCACTAATGAGTTGCCAAGAGATCTTCTGCATAAAAGCTTCATTTTGAAGTCTCAGGTTAATAATTCCAAGCCCTCCACAGTCCCTAGGACTACATATTCTCTCCCAGGCCACATAATGAGCTCTTTTCTTCTCTTCAGTGTCTCCCCAAATAAATCCACGTTGAATCTTTTCAATCTTATTACACACATGAACAGGGAGGATACTATTCTGCATGTGGTAGACAGGAATAGCTGAAATAAAATGTTTGTCCTTTTAAATAACACTACTTGTGTCATTTCACTCTCACAAAGAGGTGGGACCTACACTTTTATATTTTTTTGTCCACTCTTTCTCCTCCTTTATCTATCTTTCTCTCACTTAAAATGACACAACTTTACATCCTTTAAAATGATACACATTTTTTCCTTTCTTATATTCATACGTATAAACAATAATAAATGACTTATAATAATAATAATAATTTAAATAGAGTCTTGTCTCAACCTAATGGGTATTTGGTATATGATATTTTTTTTTATCCAGAATCACGATTACTGGAAATATGATAGGAAAATGAATTTTCTGAAAATGTTATCAAAAAGCTATTTGGTAGACCAAAATATTACCGAAAATATTAATTAAGTTTCCTGAGTGTATATTTGATTGATGATAAAATATTACTAGAAATATGAGCTGAATTTCTGAAAATAATCCCATCTTTATCAATTTACGAGAGATTCAACCATCAACATCCCACCTTCCGGCCACCATTTTCATCCCTTTTCTTTTCTCACTCCTTACAATGTTATTCATGATAACTTTTTCAAACACTAAAACAACTGTTTGTTTCTTTCCTCACCCAAACTGATTCAGCACCATCATCCCTATTCCCCTCTAGAGCAAAATAAATTTTCATCCATAATGAAATATCACTTAAAAAAAATAGCAAAAAAAAAATCTAGTCTTTGAATTTCAATAATCTACATCAAACGATCAGATAAGTAGGGAAGTCGCAGGACTTAATGCCACAACCACCATTTTTGGCTGCACCGAATACAATATTATAGTGATTGCAAGACTTACTCCTGTGAACAACTTGGTAGCTTGGGATCTCTCTAACTCACGAAGAAGAAGAAGGAGAGAGAGAGCGGGCATTTTCGTCTGAGAAAATTATGAATCCTTTCCCACAACATGGAAAAAAAATATCCTGCGAGAGATGGTATTCTCGTTTTGGAACTTGTAGTGTAAAATAAAATAATGGAAAAAAAATTTCTAAAAATATTTTTATGTTTCCCCTATCAAACGTGAGAAAAATAATTTTTCTCATCTCACTTTTCCAAGATTTCAAAAAAAAATCCACATACCAAACAACACCTAAGGATAGCTTAGTTGCCAACTGAGTACTTAAAGATTTACTTTGATCAGGATTTACTAAACTTTAGTCAAAATAAATTTTTGAAATTTTTTGGGGGTCAGAAGAAAATCATTTCTTCCTTGAAGGAGGATTAGTCTCACCCTTCTTCTGTGATAGTGATTCAATACATCCTCTGATCTCTGTTCTAGTAAGAAGCTAGCTTTAGGGAGTCGTACTCCGAGAATAAAATAACTCGAAGATGTTTCATGGGAATACCTCTAAGTTATTTGGAAAAGAGTAAAGTCTCACCTCTTGCTGCGTGCAATAATTAACCACGAAGAAATGTATCACTTAATTGATTTTTTTTTTAATTAAGCATATTGTATTTCAAAAGCGAAATTGAAAAAAGAAGAGAAAAGATAGAAAAGTTTTCATACGAAAGTTTTCTTTTTTTAATAAGTGAGACAATCTCAAGTAATTGCATTAGTATTTTACAATTTAAGTAAATTTAATTAAAAGATTAAATATTAAAAGAGGAAAATTTAAAATTTTAAAGAAGATATGTATAATTAATGTAACAGAACTTAAAATTAAAAAATAAGATAAAAAAATACCTGTCATTTTTTAATAGAGAGTAGGGTTGCAAAAAACGAGTCAACCTGTCGGGTTGGCTCGTAACCCGTTAAAAATGAGTCGGATTGGGTTGGAAAAAATGAGTTGCCAATCTACCCGAGCCAGCTCGGAATAAAACGAGCCAACCCACGGGTCAAATGGGCAGCTCGCGGGTTGATTTTTTTTTTATATAGAAAAATACAAATCCTTAATAAAGAGCCGGGTTGGGTTTTCTGGCTCATTTTTTTTTTCTAAGCCAACCCTAACCTCGCTCATTTTTTTCAGGTTGTATGCGGATTGGGCCGGGTCGAGCCGAGTTGGCCCGTTTTGCCAACCCTAATAGAGAGTACACTAAAATATGTTACAAGATAAATGTTTCGTCAGCGGTGATTTTGCTTCTAATTCAAGGGTACCATAATGTCAACGAAGGTAAATCTACGGCAGAAGGGGAACTATAAAACAGAGAATATCAGAAAAACACTACACAAGTAAATAATAAATTAAAAAAATTAAGAGTAAAACTCCTTTTGGGTCCTTAACAAAAAATACCGTCCCCACCTTTAGTCTTTTACAAAAAAAAAATAGTCTAGAGATCCCTAAGAAATTCAAAGTGGATCCATTTAATTGAAATCATGGTCCCTAACAAATTCAAAAAAAACCTACATTAGTCCCTTAAAATGACTAAAATGGATCCACTTTGAATTTCACATGAACTAGACGACTAATTTTTTTTATAAGGGACTAAAGTAAGAATCGTATTTTTTATTAGGAACCCAAAAAGGACTTTACTCTAAAATTAATGGGCCTTTGGAATAGGAAATATAAGAATAATTGGTGATCCAACGTATGAGATACTAACAACGTGTGCATACAAGAAAATCCATTTATGATTACGTACGAGATACTTACAGAGTGCAGATAAAATAAAATCTATTTTAATATTTTAAAAATCCATT